CTCACTTGTTTTAAGGCCACAGCAATTTCTGAGTTGGTGCTGACCTCATCTGTTCGTTTGAACAAATTCCATAGGATATGGATCAAAATGCGTCTTTTGTTCATCAGCGTACCAATTAGCAGACCTTAAAACACCCCCACGTTTGCGCACCGGTCTGTCGTGGAGGAGGTTGGCCATTGGTAGCTCTCTGAAGAAGGCTGCCCTCTGTTGCTCTTTCCTCTCCTCAGAGGGCCACATCGGCACAAAGACTGTTATTCCTGCTGGAATAACCTATTATTCCATACAGGCTGTCACCTACAGACTTATTAAAATGGACGTCTGTCGATTTTGCAACTCACATGCTGTAGTACGGAGCCCTAGTGGTGTAGCGGGTTAGACTTTGGGCTGTTAACCACAAGGTCGGTGGTTTGAACCTATCAGTTGCCCTATGTGAGACCCTGGAGCAGGGCTGCTGGAAGTTAAAATCAACTCACTATCAGTGGCACACGTCCGCAGGTCATCATTCCTCACCTTCTCTGAGTCTGCCCAATGGAAGGATAGACCGCAACCCTGGGGAGACTGGCGCCCTGGAGATGTTGAAGTCTGAGTGGTCCAGGCATGTTTTCATAGCACAGTCGGCACCACACTGCCTGGACACACGCCCCTGCTGTGTTCCCGAGGGCGTTTATAAACTCAGTACCCTGTAGAGCTGCCAGCAGCAGTGCTGCCCACAAGGTCTTCCGCAAGCACTGTGTGGCATTCCATTGTGTCTGTGGACCAATTGAAAACAACTGCCTTATAAAATGGAAATGGAGCCCTGCCCCGGCACATCTCTAAAGCTTTCCCAACCCCAGATGACCCTGATTTTATCACTTGTGCGCAGATTCTCGATTTTGCTTGGTTACTGTGTTGTCTGGATACAGGAGCAGGTGGCCTATGGTTTTACGGCGACATGACACACACCCCCCCCCTTACTTCCCTATTTCTCCTTGGGACATAACCCTGAGGCTAAGACTGACACTGGAAAATGCCATGTGGTGATGTTGGCTTTTACAGGAAATGGCCTTATGCAAAGAAGTGAAGTCTCTCCAAGTTATCCCAACGTACTTGGTCCAGCCATTAAAGGCCAACTCTTCAACCCACCTGGCCATGAGTCAGCTGGACCTCCTGGCGAGGCTGCTGAAAGACCTGGGCACCGAGGGTTCGGGCTTCACCACCGACAGCGTGATGAGGGTAAGCAGGCCCCTGGAGCACTGCCGCTGAGTCCCGGCCCCTGGAGCACTGCCGTGTCTGACTGGGGAGGGAGGGAGGGAGGGAGGCATCAGTGCCGGTGGGTGAGTGATTCCAGGAAATAAGCGGTGTTCGTAAGTCTTCCTGCTGTTTGTGATGCTGTTCACTGAATGAAACTGAACTGCAGTTTCCTGTGACTGGGAGTGTGACGGTGTGTTGAAGAGTGTTGCTTTATCCGTAAGAGAGCGCTGGCTCTAGCATCACAGAGAAGGTCCAGTCTAGGTACGCATATGTACTTGCAGGGCTTGGCCAACATGATGAAACAATGCAAGTTATAGGAGAGACCCTTTCTGCTAGTCGAAAATCCCCATCTCCCAATTTCAGGCGTGTTGAAGATGCCTGTGTTCGTCCAGCATCCTGGCCAGCCGTGTAGGTGATGAGTCTCACAGCGAGAGCTGTCCTCGGTCCTCCGTCCGGTTCTGCCTCGGAGGAAGAGGAGCATGGCTGTGCAGGAGTCCGGTGGGGTCCCAGGGAGCCCACAGAACCCAGAGACTGGATTTGGACCAGGCATGATGAAACTTAGGCTCGGGATGGGCAGGATCATGAAGACAGATTGATACACATCTCTTTACTAGTCGGGGTGTGAGGTAGACATATTTTTTTCGTAAGCAGGCAACTTTGAAATAAACCGGCCTCTGGAAGGACTCCCAGCCCCGGGCTTCCAGACCCCACAGGCTCCCTGTGCCTCAGCCTCCTTCTCAGTCTGCTGTGCCCATTCTTCACCTTCCTGACTTACAGCCAAAGCACCAGGTGTGTCTGGTGTGCATACGCCTCATCCAGGTGTACACCACCTGTGGATTCAAGACTCACATATGGCAGGGGACTTCACAAAGTTCATGGAGAATGAGATTTCCTGTGAACTTCTTGGAGCTCCCTCTTATGTCCAACTGCCTGATCAACCTCTCCACGTGACCATTAGCAAGGCCCAGACTCAGCATGTCCAAACCCACTCACCTCCCCCTCCCTCCCATCCTTCCCACATTCCACTCCATTCTCCCATTTGCCCAGACCACAATCCTGGAGTCCTCTGTTTCCTCTGTCTCAAACCTCTGTCAACGCGTGTTACGGGATTGCCCTTAAGATTCATCAAGAGCCTGTCCATTATTCACCCTCCTCTGCTACCAGCCAAGCTTCCTCACCCTGCTCCTTCTTCCGGTCACAGCACAGCAGTCCGAGAGCTGCGCTTAAGGGCAGCTGAATCACCCTGCTCCTCCGCTCAGCCCGGCTGCTGCTTCCCAGCTCACTCAGAAAAGCAAACTGCCCCTTCCTTCCTGAGCTCATCTCTTGCTTCCCAGAACAATCCTTCCCAAGGTCAGCCTATTAGCACCCAAGCACACCACTACCCTGCTTATCCCCATCCGTGTCTCCTGGTGCTGGGCCGTCAGCTCCGTAGCCCAGGGCCCACCTTCTGAGTTAGAGAAGGCAGCAGCCACTCAGCTGTTGTGCTCCTGCCGAGCGCGGCCCACCAGATTCCCTGCCTCTTTGCTCAGTGCCCTTGCTGCTCACCACATGCCACCCCCCACCCCCCAGCCCACCAGCATCAGAAAGCTCGAATTAGGGTCATGCCTAGGTCAAGATGCCAGGCAATGCATTCACCCCAGTAAACCAGGCCAGGCTCAGTAGCAAACTCTAAAACGTTGGTGAGTGGGCTTTCTCGTCCTGGTCGGTGGAGCTTGCCAGGCTGGGGGCACTGTGCATCAGGAAGTCATCTGGGGCCTTAGTTTCACCTGTGATCTCTGAGAGCCCTAAATAAAGGCAGGTGAGGAGAGGGGCCTGTGGGAAGGGGTAGCCGAGCCCTCCCTCCCCCTGTCCATTGTGCTTGATGACCCCACGCTGACTCAGCGGCACTGCATCAGGGTGAGAGGCACAGGCCTATAGAGCTTGCGATTGTCTTTTCGACCATCTCTGTTCTGCCGGGAAGAATTCTCTCAGAGGAGGGAGATATGGATAATCTGGGAAGAAGGGGTGCCGACAGGGAGCAGGTCTTGGCAGCTGGAGGGATGGAGGCTCCTGTGTCACCACAGAAGTGCTGGCCTCGGGCTGAAATGGGGACAGCATCCTGTTGGCCAGCGGAAGTCGCTGAGCAGTGTTACGGGTAGGAGAGCAGAGAGGCACATCTGTGAGGACCCCAGAAGTCTGCAGGAGCGGCTGGCCCAGGGCCTGGTGGCAGCTTGGCTGTACAGCTTCTGGCAGTCACATGCCTACAAAGTCTCTGGTCCCCCGGCTTCACCTGGGAGTCCCGAGGAAGCAGCTGGGGCTTGGGCTTGTATTCTGTATGTGTGCACGGACAGCAGGAGGGCCCCCTCAGCCTGCCTGGACACGAGGAAGGTGGAGGCAGAGGCTGGTGGGGGCAACAGATGGGTCTTGGGGGTGAATGGTGTGCATAGGGATGGACGGGAGGACCCTGTGGGTGGAAGACTTGCTTGGAAAGGGGGGGGCGGTAGTTGAGCCAGAAGGATGGGCAGTGGCAGAGTGAGGCCTTACGTGAGTCCTTGTTGAGGTATTCGGTGATTGAAAACAACAGGATCGGGTGAAACCTGAGTGGGCGCCCAGACAGGGAGGTGGTTTCTAGAGGGGAGAACACCCGGGACTGGAGGCTGAGGGGCCCGGCATCATGGTGGAGCTGACCAAGTCACCCAGCATGTGCCCTCAGACTGGGCCGGGCCCACTGTGTTTGGGGCTGGGATCCTGCAGAGGTGCCAGGGGATGAAGTAGCCCGGTCCAGAGGGGAGGGTGGACGTGGCTGCTCATACGTGTCGTGCAGACAAGAAGGAAGGTTCCCAAAGACGAGCACAGTCTGCCACTTGCCGTCTTTAAGCAACAGCGGATATAAAAATGCTCCCTGCTTCTGTGTGAGGATGCACCCTGACCAATAGGCTGGTCTCTGTGGGAAGCACGTGGTCTCCATAGAGCGCCGCCTCCAGAACTGGGGGACCCCAGGGTATGGGAACCCTGGGTAGATGCAATGGCTAGGTACGTGGAATGGACGATGTGCACTGCTGAGTGCCAGACATGCTTCATAGTGCAAATGTGATGTTTACGGCCAATGCTCATTGAGTATGCCAGGCAAAGGGCAGAGCACACAACACATTGTGTAGACCCAAGATCCGAATCGTGGCTGTCAGACCGCGGGTCGGGGGAGCTGAGAGGAAGAGATGGAGTTCTGTGTGTCTGTTTACCTTGTCTCTGTTTTTCACATTGTGATATACAGATAGTCCCTTGGTGCAGGAACAAAAGAAGCTGTCCTATTCCAAGAATCACTGACAGCAAGCCCCGTCCCGGCTTTCTGTTTAGTTTGCAGTGAGTGCCCTGGCGCACCGAGTGTGTGAGGTACGAGAGGCAGCAGTTAGAGTCATCCTGGACCTGTATAAACAGCACCAGGCTTTCGTTCTAGAGTACCTGCCGCCCGACGACAGCAACACGCGCAAGAACGTCCTCTATAAAACCATTTTTGAGGGATTTGCTAAGATAGACGGCAAGCCGACCGAAGCTGAAATTAGGGTAAGCTTGACATCTGGGAGGATTCGGGCTCTTGTGGGTTCTACGGGTATTACTGGACACGATGATCCCGGGAGCGACATCCTGGCTCTGTCCCTTTGGGCCGGGGAGGCCTTCCCACTCCCCAGCTGTCAACCGCGTCAAGGACAGTCCTGTTCTCCCCTTCAGTAAGCGTTGTCTTGAATGGAGAATTTAATACACTTTCGTCCTATCACTGGTCTGAATGATATCGCACAGGCTGAGACGCCCTGTCCTGAGACCGCTTCCTCTAATGAGAAGAGCATTGTCTTCACAGGTCCAGAGAAAGGCAGCCACAGAAGAAGCGGAGAAGCAAAAGAAGGAAGAGATCAAAGTTCTGCAAGACCAGTTGGCAGCACTGAAGGAGATCCAGGCGGAAGTCCAGGTGGGCGAGGCTAATGCGTCTGCCTTCCCGGTGGGTAGAATGTGTGCGCTCTACGGACAGCCTTGGAGGGTGGAGAGCACAGCACATCTGATTCACTCTCTGAGGTGGGGACAGATGGGTGTCTCTGCATTGCTGTTTGAATTGGGTTTGGGACACATTTTTTAAAACACCATTACCCGACAACCCGCCGTGTTCTTTGTCCACCTTGTGCATCCGCAGGGGTGGGAGGGCACTGCTGTTCATTGATGTTGAGCTGGTGGGAACCATCACTGCAGCTTTCGATCGATAGTCCGTATCAAGCATTTGAGCCTTCTCTTGACGTGGCATGACTTGTCTCTACTTCTTGGGAGCTCTTCCAGCATCATTGGGGGCACTTCGTATGGGCCCCATGGTGTTGATCAAGGTTTACAGTCCTGCCCTAAAGTCCGTGATGAAAACTCAGCCCGAGCCATGAGAGAGCCCTTGTTACTGCGAGAGGCAGACTGCTCCCTCCCAAGATGACTGGGAAGTCTGTGTATGCAAATGCACCCAGGCAATTCAAGCTCCGGTTGTCGATGACAGTGTGTCTGCAGGGAAAATCACAGTAATGGTTCCCCTAAAAGCTGGAGCCGCAGAGTAGCAATAATGGACAAGGGGAAAGAGGCCGATGGGGAATGGGGACCAAGTGGGAGGGAGGCTGGGGTCCGTGATGGGAGCCCTCCTAGGTGGTATTGTCCAGGGAATGTCCACCTATGCCATTATTAATGTTTTACAGTGAGTAGGAGAGGAGAGTTCTCAGTGATTAGCCTAAGGCTCTGTCCC